AATCGGAATATGCCACGCTTGGGCACCAACCCCCCCCAATTCAATCAACTGTGGCCAGCGTGGCAGGGAAGGCAATACACAGCACAGCAATTTATTGAGAAGGAATCACCAGTTGTCTTTTTCTTAGAAGGGACTTTAGGCAATATGGGTGTTTTCAAAGTTTATGGTTCCAAATTAGTAAATTCCACCTTTAACTTCCATGCCATGTATAGTTTCAAAGTACCCCCATCCATCTAATCCAACTTCTTATTTTTGTTGTGTTATTAGTTGGTTATGGGGTCACACCTGGTGGTGCTCAGGGATCGCTCCTAGAGGGAATTGAGGGATCACTATGGTGTGGGGGATTGAATCCAGGTTGGCTGCATGAAAGACCCCGCTTCCTCTATGTCTCTGGTCCCTACCCAACTATTACATTCACTCAGAAAATGCAGACTACCAAGTGGTCTAACTTTTCTCAGTGATGAAATTTAGAATATTTTTGGGTAATTAAAAAGGCCAGAGGGATTGTTTCTGAATTTTTGCTTTTTGGGTTCACACTCATCGATGCTCAGAGGTTACTCCTGGCTCTTCACTCAAGGAATTACTCCTGGCAGTGCTTAGGTGACCATAAGGGTTGCTGGGGATAGAACCCAGGTCGGCTTCATGCAAGGCAAATGCCCTACCCACTGTACTATCACTCCAGCCCCCCAGAGGGATTTTAAAGTTTGTTGCTACGTACATGAGGAAACTGAAGTATAGAGAGGAGACTGAGGAGCAAGTTATTATGACCTGATGCTTCACTGAGATTTCTCAGCTCAAGGACTATCTCCCTTATTGTCTTCTACCTACCACCAACTCTCCTATATCTGAGTCTGCACTCCAGGATCAACTGAGGTATTATTTCTATCCCAGTAGTTTGCATTTTCCCAATAAAAATAAAAGGATATGAAGGTGGGGCTAGGAAAAAACAGATTGCTTATGCTCAGATTCTTTTAAGCCAAGTTCCTAACCAGACTAGAAGCTTTGGCAAGGGTTTTTTCTTTTGTTTAGTTTGTGCAGTTCTTGCCAACCCCCAATCTTGTGCTTGAAAAATAAGAACCATTTATGGACTGTCGTCATTGTGATGGATAATAAGGGCCTTCTCTGCTTCCTAAGTGCCTACCTCCTTCCTGACCCTTGATCTAAGGCAATTAGGAAAAGCAATAAAATCACAAAACCTCACTTTTGATCAATGCATTCCGGCCAGAGGGAGATTGGGTTGTTCTTACAGAATATCTATAATTAGATTGAATTCAGAACTTGGATGACTTCATTGAATAGAAGAAAGCACGGTTTTAATAATTATCCCAGTCTTTCTGAGGGAAACAGAGAAATCCAAATAGAATTAGGAGTGGAATCAGGGCATTTTCGAATGAGTGAACTTATCAGAAGGCATGGTAAGTAGCTGGTTGAGTGGGTAAGTCTTGTACTGAGGAGTGACACTTGGAAATCAACAACATTTACCTAGGCCAGCCCCAGCAAAAGGAAACAGCATGCTTAGAGATAGCTGGGTTCCCCTCCTCCTCACAATATCTGAATCTGACACGAAAATATAGACCAGATTTTAAAAATGACTTTGACTGAAGAATAATTTTATGACTTCATCCATGCAAGTTGCATAACCCTACACTTTTTGAAAAATGTAATAATGACCATATTCAATATATGGAGCATTTCTTTAGTCCCCCAAATTGCTCTGTGATTTTTGGCCCATCACCCAGGCAACCACTAATCTGTTCCTATCACTATAAATGTGTCTGTACATCCCAAAGATTATAACAATGGAAATGGATAGGTCAAAGAGTCGGAGCACAGTTTTTTGGAAGGCCCAGGACGCAAGTCAATCCTCAGCATCCCATGACCTGCCCCTCCACTCTGCCAGGTGTAATCCCCGTAGCCCCAACTATGGAGGCTGAGCAGCATGGCTGGGCCCGCGCAGCACAACACGACACTGTTGGCTCCTATTGCTCCCAGGCTCCTGAGCTGAACTAGGGGAACAGGCACTCCCTATTGTTTTGGCTTCATTCATTCAGAATTGCTCCTCTGAGATTCATCCATGTCATGATTGTTCGTAGTTCCTTCTCTTTCTGTGTAGTATTCTATATGAAAGCTACAGGCACTGGGGCATTCCCATGTTTTGGTTATGCTGGAAAATGCAGCTATGAACATTTATGCGAACATTTTTGTGTTCATGTTTGTATCTCTTATGTAAGAACCCGAGGTAAGGTATGGGATAGTTGGGTGACACAGTTGATGTATTATTTAACTTTATAAGAAACTGTCATTGTCTGCAGCTACAGCAACAATTGGTGGTGATGCACCGTGTGGTGGAACGCGCAGAACATAAAAGTTGCCATTTTAACCACTTTTATAGGGCTCAACTCAGTTTTGTTAAATACATTCAAAAGATTACATGACTCTGGCCACATTATCTATTTCCAAAGCTCCTCATGAGCCCAGGTAGAAATACTAACTTTTCAATTCTGCATCTTTTAGACTCTTGTGATATTTGATATTTGCTAGGTTTTTTTTAGACCATGAATGGTATATTAATATAAAATGTATGACTGTTTTTTAAATAAAAATGGTGCATCATACTGAGTGATTTTTTTTTCATACTGAGTGATTTTTAAAACATTAAACCAACATTGTTTATTAGCCTTCATAGAGTTTGGATCTAGAAATAGTTGATAAGGGTATCTGTGTCTAAGTTCATAAGTGACAGTGGTCTTTAGTTACTGTCCTGAGGAATGGACTTGGACCTGAGGATTGTGTTCACTGGCCTAAGCAAGCATCAAGTGATTAACTATGAAATCCTATGTATATTACAATATAAGGTATTGTGGTGTGTTAATAGTGAGTCCACGGAAACTAACAGATTTACACAGGTCATATCGGTGGAAAGACAAAAACTTAGTTTTGCTTTGGGATTGCTGCTCCAACCCATGCTTTGCTCCTTTTATTTCACCATCACTGCCCCTTCTCCTTTTCCATATCTCCACAAGCTAGTCCCCTGCCATTCAAGTTAGTCCCAATTCAAAATTCACATCTGTCTTTTCTAAGTATGGCACCTCATGGGCCAGGAGCGATAGCACATTGGGGAAAGTGTTTACCTTGCATGTAGCCAATCCAAGTTCAATCCCCAGCACCACATATCCCTGAGCTCACCCAGGAGTGACCCCTGAGTACAGCTGGGGGTAGGCCAAACCCACCCCTCCCACACAAATATGGTCCACCTTTAAACTCAGGCCCTCCTAGCATAACACACAAATTCGTAGTTTACTAAAGCAAACCTCCCAGAGAAATATTTTGGTTTTGTTTTTGAGCCACATCCAGGGTGCTCAAGACTTACTCCTGGCAGGACTCAGGGGAATAGAGGTGCCAGGAATCAAACCCAGGTCAGCTGTGTGCAAGGCAAGTGCTCTACTGGCTATACTACTATATGGCCCCCCTCAAGGATTTTGTTTATCAGAAAGAAAGAATAAAATGTTTGGAGCAAGTTTCAGTTACTGTGTTAGAAAGGAAGAGGTGTGTTAAAAGAGTTTTCTATTTAGGGACCTAAGAGACAGTGGTGCACTGTGCTACCACACCAAGTCGGAAGCTTTCTGCCTTCTCTTTAAAGCAGTTTTTCTCAGTACCCAACGGTTCAAAGAAACATTTCTAAGACATTTTGTTGGTGTAGATTTTAAATCACAAACTGATCTGTTACCCTCAAATACAGTTTTTAAGGAAGCTTAGTTACAAATTGTTGTCAGTACTCTTCAAATGACCAAAAAAGTTACAGAATAGTAAAACTCAAGACATTTTTCATGAGTGTGGGAACAATTGTTTCATTACCAGATGGGATTACTCCAATTCATGCAATAGGTGACTATTAAAAAAAAAAACAAAACAGATTTTCTAGTCATGATTTCATGCCTATTTTAAGTCAAGAATTAAATCAGTATTTTTCAGAGTGTCCTTTGTCACCCCTGGGAAGTGATGAGTACACAGAAGATGATTCTAAGACACATGGAGCCCCTGAGTATCAAAGTCTGATTTCGATCCTTTCACCTAAGGGTGAAGGTTCCCAGGAAATCTCCAATATCAAAGAGGCTGGCTCTGATGGCAGAGAGAAAAAAAAACCGATTATTTAAGACTTTGATAGTTTCCTGAAGGAGATGACTGTGAGGGAAATTTTAACTTATCTTGACATAAAACTTGCATCAAAGTCCTGCAACTAAAAATCATGAGGGTAAAACAGAAAAGGTCTGTCTCTGATGGGGAGATCCCTCAAAGGAGGTTTTGCAGATGTGTGTTTTATAGTACCATCAACACTTTACATATTGTACGTACAATCTGGATAAAAATTCTTAAAATTTATAATAGAACATTAAAATAATCCTCTAATAAAGTCAGTCTTAGGTATAAGGAATCTAAATTTCAGCATCTTGTATACTTCTAAATAAATATCTTTGATCTATAATCCTTGAAAATATTACAGTTTATGGTGACAGATACAAGTCAAACAGTCTTATTAGTGAAAGTATCAATTTAAAAATAAACAAGCCTAAAAAGACATTAAACTGAAATGATAGAAAATCAAAACTCTATACAGTAATTAAATACCTAGCATTGGGGCAACTGAATGCATGCCCAACAACATGCTTTCAACTTACGTAAAAAGCCCTTTTATAGTCACATCATCTAAATAAATAAGCAGAAACATAAAGGGAGGTACTGTACCAGCCAGTAACAACTAGAAAGTAATTTCTCCTCCTTCTGTTCAAATCATCATGGCAGAAAAGCATGAAATAAGGATCACTTGCTAAAAATCTATAATTGATGTTTTTTTTTAAATGCTAACTGTAATATAAAAAGCCAAAGAAAGTTCTTAAATGTTAGAACACTCTCCTTGAAAAGGAAATGCCACCTGACAGATATAAACAAAATGAAACAAATTTGCCTATTTATGATTGATTTTTCACTTAATGACTTCTAAATAGGCCTAAAGTAAGTTCATGATTTGAATGATGTTCAAACATCTGAATGCATAATATGTAAATACTGAATTACATGTGGAGATTCAATTTCATTGCCAAAAGTTTGAGTTTATTTTACATAAGCCCAAATTAAAACATCCACAGAGGGAACTAGTATCTTGTTATTTTTGTATTCTGGTTCTTAGATTCTCAGAACATTACAGGTGCTTAATATGTGTTTGCTGAATTGAGTCCAGAATTTATACGATTTCAGATAACATTGAATCCATGATAAAACTGGCTGCCGGAGACTCAGAGGGAGTTTATTCACTTTACCTCTAACTCTGTAATTAATTTTTCACAAATCAGGTTAATTGCCATAGTTCCTCATTTCAGGGTTAGGATTTCTATGACTCATCTCATCCACAGTTAAGCCTTCTTCAAATATTTGTGCCTGCACTTCTACTTCGAGTTAAAAGAATAAAAATCATCTCTTTTTTTATGTTGGGAATTTGCACATGAGAACAATCAGAAATGCACACAACTGTGTGTGCACGCACACATACACATCCAGACACAATCATTTCACAAATGGAGTAATTTGGAAATAATATACAAAGCCTGAATTACAGAGCTCCCATTATTAACGGGGAAAAAAAAAAGACAGTGAAATCATAAGGAAATGTCTTTGCTTATACACACACTTATTGCGTGACAACTGGAAGCAATGCCTTTGGACCAACAAGTGTAAACCATGTGTCCTTAACCATTAGTGTGACAAGGTGCAGGTGGATGATGGCGTGGCCCCCACACTGTTCTGTCTAATTCTGCTCAGTGCAGCTTGTTACACTAGGAAGCGGCGAGGAGGCTATGGACATACTCTCCAAAGAGCACTCCTTCCACCCACAATACTCAGATATACATCTGCCTCACACTGCAGGGTGCCAAGGGTTCCTTTGGATTTCCATTTAAACTTTCTATTTCTGATGTCCATGGTTCCTCAATGCAGGGAAGGGACGCGCATTACAGATCTCCTGAAAGAAAAAAGGTTTAGGAAGTTTCACTCTTTGATTCTCATTGCTAGCATGTCTGTCCCTTTTGAATGCTGCTAGGAGAGGTAGATCCAGTGTTTGAGTTCTGCCATTCCCTGCAGTAATTTCGCGTAATAGAAGTCCATGTTGTCTGCAAAGTCCGTACAAACAGGTGATTCCATGTCCCCGAAAGAGCAATACAATGCAGTTCCTCCAACACTCAGGAAAACCGTTGCTATACACAGCAAGATTAGCAAAATACAGGAGCCGCCTCCAACTTCATCTGCAAACACGAGAACAAGGTAAGGGTAAATGAACACAAAATGAAAATTCAACATCTTCTGTCACTGCTCACGAGTGACAATAACTGAACATTTTAACTACCAGTCTTTGAGGGACAGTCAAAGTCAGTACTCCAGAGGCTTCATAAGTGTCTACCTCATAATTACCCCAAAGAGAAGTACATGGGGGGACTATTAGAATACCTACCTCATTTAGGGGCTGGGGAGATAGTTCAAAGGGGTGGCAAGTCACTGAGTTAGTTCAATTCCTGGCAATGCACACCCCAGCTTCCCAGTACAACAGGGCCTGGTGAACCTGGGCCTTCTGCATGCAAAGCGCTTGCTTAGCCCACCGAGTCAGCCCTCAGGCTCAAGGCAGATTTGCTTTGAATAAAAATACCAACACCAGTCTTTCTACTTTGAGAAAAATAACTTTCCATTCTTTTTTTTCTTTTTGGGTTGAAATTTTGTTTGATATGTTTTTGTATTTTGGGGGACAAAGTGGTGCTCAGGGGCTGCTCCTGACTCAATGGTTAGGGGTCAATCCTGGCAGTGCTCTGGGGGTCATGCAGTGCCAGGGCATAAAGAGGGATACGTGTGGACAAGGCTTCTGTCCACTGAACTGCCTCTTTGTCCCTGGCTGAAATACTGTCATTCATAATTAAGGCTAAATTTAAAAATATTTGGAAAAAATTTAAAAAAATCTTATGACATACTGTGCAGCACACATTCAAAGTTAAGACTGGGGACCACGGTGATGGTAAGCATAAAGGGTAAGGCACTTGACTGGCACTTGGTCATGGCTACAATACTGGTTTGAATCCTGGCACCACCCTAGTGGGAAAATATTTGTGGATTGTAAATATATTCCCTTTGATGATTTTTTTTGACTTTAGGAGGAAAATGGTGTCTTATAAGAATAAAAAAAAATTTTTTTTGGAGGGGGTGCCTCCCAAGTGGTACTCAGGGTCTCAGGGGCCTAACTGCTTGGGCCCTGCAGTGCTGAGAATCACCAGGCCACTCTGACAGTATAAAAGCAGCAATTTAAGGTTGCTGCTACTCCTACTCCTTCCTCCTGGGTTTATATTTAAGGGGCTTGCTAGGTTTCCGTAAAGGCTACATAAATAAGGGTGAGAGGAAATATAGTCAAGATGCCAATTTATAAAAGATGACTCTCATGTTTACAAAAGATGACACTGTTACTCTACAGTATGCAAACATTAAGATGAGCGCTGTACATAGGACACAAAGTGATAGATCTCTTTTTTGTCTTTTGTTTTGTTTTTCGGGCCATATCTGGTGATGCTCAGGGATTACTCCTGGCAGTGCTCAGGAGACTGTATGGGAGGTTGGAAATCCAACTTGGGTCACATGTGAGCAAGGCAAGCTCCCTTCCTACTGTACTATCTCTCCAGCCTGAGAAGCAGAGACTGTTAAATCTTTACAGTTATAAACTAGAGTGCTCTTGGAAACAATATTTCTCATTTTTCAAGTAAAGTGCTCAATTTGTTGTTTGCAGAATTCAGTTTATGCTGTGTTGTTGCTTTGGAGAATCTATGTTGACAGACTGTCAATAATCATCTCATCTTAGACAATGTCCCTTAATGTGTGCTTAGTAAGCACTCATGACTTGTGTCTTTCATGTTGCATGGGCCACTTTTTGATAGGATCAGTGAATGTCAGTAAAGCAAAATAGATGATTTTAATAAACTGTGGGACCAAGGATGTGACTCAGTGGTAGAACACGTGCCTTGGGTTCAGTCCTGGCACCAGGGAAAAAAATAGTTAAATAAATGGTCCATAAATATCTGATGAAACATATAAAAAGAGAGACCAGAGAGATAGCACAGAGTATGAAGTGCTTGCCTTGCATGCATCTGATCCAAGTTCAATCCCTAGTATCCCATATGGTCCCCTGAGCCTGCCAGGAGTGATCTGAGTGCAGAGCCAGGAGTAATCTGAGCACCACCAGTTGTGGCCCCCAAACAAACAAAAAACTAAATTAAAAAAAAAAAAGCTAAATAAACTATTATTAACGTAATAACAGAACATGGTCAGAGGGAATCATGCCAATTCTAAAAACCAGAAATACATAAAAGTACTGAATGGATCAAACATAACCAAACTGAAAAACACAATACTGAGCCAGGACTGTTGCTCAGGGGTCGAGCATATGCCATGCATACATAGGTTTGTCAGTAAAGCAAAATAGATGATTTTAATAAACTGTGGGACCAAGGATGTAGCTCAGTACTAGAGCAGCCTTGTTTTCAGTCCCTAGCATCAGGAAAACAAGGTTAAATAAATGGTCCATAAATATCTGACGAAACATATGAAAGAAACATATGACCAAACCCTGGGTTTGATCCCCGGCACAAGGAAGGAAGGAAGCCAAGGAAGGGAGGGCGGGAGGGAGGCAGAGAGGTAGTGCAGGGATTAAGGTACTTGTCTTACGTGCACCAAGCAGCACCAGAATGGCCCAGGTAATCCCCTATACCACACTAAGGCTGGGGAGACCATTCAAAGGCTGGATGGCATTTTTTCCATGCAGAAGACTGGGATTGGTCCCCAGCAATGCATGGTCTCCTCAAGGACAGACGGAATGACAGCCAAGCGCTGGCCTCAAGCTCTGAGCTGGGTGTGCCACCACCCCCTCCCGCCAACAAAAAAGAATAGTCTATACTAAGGAAGAATAGTAATTGCTACTGAGTAAAAGACAAAAATAGCAGGCTTACTAAAAAAGGGAAGAACTAAACAAAGGAACTGAAATAAATTCGGCACCCTGAGGACTGTGGAATCAAAGAGGTCATGAGTTGAATTTTATAATCTGTTTCACTCAAGCAAACAAAAGTAAGAACAGAAGATAGTTTGATTCTCTGTAGAAATCCAGCTGTCCCTTTTCAAATCCTGGCACGAAATATCAGACACGAGTCAATTCTTTCACCAAACACAGAGTTAGCTATGCACGAGGTGGCACTGAGCAATTTACCTTGATCTAAGTTATCATCTATTTCCTGGAATCTCACTCTTCGCTTAGATGGTTTCTGTTGCATCTGGGCAGAATGATCGCCTACAGTGTCATTCCTCTTCTTCAATATAGAGACCAGCCCTTCGGCAGGAACAACCTGTCAGAGATTGGGACACATCAAGGATATTTTGCACTTAATAATTAAAAGATAAATTTACTTCATTTGGGGTGTGGGGGAGTGTCTTCCTGAATTATCCAGGTTACCCGAGTCATGCTTGGGAGCCTGCAGGGCTGTATCTGTGATGCTTAGAGACCATATGGTGCCAGTGACCGAACAGGGTTGGCTGCTTACAAGAAGACATGCTCCTTTACCTCCAATGATCTCTCTGCCCCAAAAGTCAGTTCACTTTAAATGGGAATTTGACCTTCTAAACTAGGCTTACCCAGTGCCTATAGATAAAACATCATATACATCAAAATATAGTGCAATATAGTTCCATGCTACACAGTTGACTGACAACCATCAAAGTTAGAAATCGGTCCATAAGGCCAGGTAGAGAGAGGTGCAGAGAGCAGCACGCTGGACCCCCCTCCTCCTGCAGGCCCACTGCCCCAAGGTCATCTGCAAAATGATTGCTGAGGGCCCTCCTCATTTTGTCATTAGTGATGGGTTTTATAAAAGAGACTGATATGATTTTTATCAGCAATATCTTTATGCTAAGTATATACTGCCATTGATTTTATTCCCAATAAAAAAACAACTGTAAATGTAAATAATTCTGCTATGGATGACTATAAAAATGTTAATATCTTGCATCTTCCCACCCCACACTACATGTCCGAGTTCTCGGAGCACCAATCAGCAGCAATCCTTAAAAAAATCAACATGTGAGACAAACATATTTGGTACCAAGTTTTTTTTTTTTTTAACAAATATTGAGGGTTAGAGTCACCTCTTTTAAGAAAATATCACTGTATTACTATCATCCCGTTGTTCACCAATTTGCTCAATTGGATGCTAGTAACGTTTCCATTCGTCCCCGCTGTGAGATTTTAGCAGTCTCTCCTTACTCATCCGTCCCAATGCTGCCATACTGGAGACTATTTCAGGGCCAGGGGAATGAGACCCATGATTGTTACTGTTTTTGGCATATTGAATACGCCACGGGTAGCTTGCCAGGCTCTGCTGTGCATAAGAAACTATACATTTGCAAAATAGTGCCATAGTGCTCACAATATGTTAAGGACTTCTCTTCCCCACTTCAGAGTCAGTCTCCTGGTGAGAAACTACTGTGTAGCACAGGCTGAAGACCTGCCTTTGTAAAAAATACTAACTGGAACACAGCGAAGTCCACTCATGTACCTGTTATGTAGCTGCTTTGGAGTTCCTATAGCAAAACTGAGCACATACAAGAGACCAGCATTACAATACATATAATTGGATCTTTCACAGAAAAAAATGTGCTATCTACATCTTTTTAGTCCGACCACTACTACCCCTTTCCCACCCCAGGCCCAGCCCTGAGTTAGGAGGGAAGACAAAAATAAAGACTCTTGCCATTTTGGGTTTAAAGACCCTGAAGTGGAGACAGCAGAGGATCAGTTGCTAGAGGCAGGCTGCGGGGGCAGGAGGCCAGACCAAAGGCCCCCTACACAGTGGGCTGATTCGCAGAAACTAAGCTGTGAGTTACCTGCATGCACCAAGCTGTAGGTGATGACATAGGTGGGCATTATGGGCCCACTGTGCATGTCAGTGGCTTTGCTGGTTAGCTGATCACTGCATGGTGAGCACTGCAATGTCATTTATCTGGTCCATGCTACAAATACTTAATAGGATTTCCAAGGACCAGTTAATGTGCTATGCATAAATATTACAGATCTATTAGTTCTTTTTATAACTCAGGGCTTTTAGGGCCAAATAATTCAATATAGTATTCTACTGGGTTTCCCTGACATGGATCTATGGAAACCATTATCTCAAGAAGAAAATCAATAAGTTGGCAATTTATTCTTTTTATAGGAAATATATATTTTAGATAATGTCCTCCTGAGAAAACTACTTTCATAACATTAAAATGGAAAGTACAAAATTGCAAAGGAGTAGTCTTTCAAATATTTCTTGAGAAAGCAACAACATTAAAGAGCCTTTTCAGACAGTAAAGAAAAACAGCCTGGTGGTTACAGAGGGGAAGTGGGTTGGGGGTGGTGAGTGAAAAGGATAAAGTGGGTCAACTGTACTGTGATGGATCGAACCTAGATTTTTGGCTGGGAGATCATGACAATACAGACTTCAAATTATACATGCATGTAACCCTAATAAAAATTAATTTTATTATTAAGAAAATAAAAATTAATTTAATAATAAATGAGAATATACCAATAAAATTAATTTACTAATATTATAATTTCAATTTTGAGTAAGTATGAAATTAATTTACTAAATTTTTTTATTAACAAAATTAATATGCTAATAAGTATTTAGTAATAATAACCAAAATAGTTCTGGGAATGAGTCCCAGGGTGGCATTTCTACTAACATGCGTCTGTGACATTAAATGTGAATCTGTAAATGCAAGAAGCAATGACATCAAAAATCAAAAGAATACGTAAACACAAATCAATGGATTTTGGAAGACTGAGGAATTCTGGAAATCATCTGGAAAGACAGTCTGCCTCTAATACCTTAGCAGCTAGTGACGGGGCAGCCGTGGGCAGATCTCGGCCTTAGCTCCTGCTTGGCTTCCTTTGCAGTCTGACTCTGGAAGTCATGTGGTTAAGCGAGAGGAGCTTTTACAAGTGGCCCACGTTGTTGACCAAGAGTAGCAATGAACTTTGGCCACGTTTTGAAAGATGGAAGGAGTATGAGAAACTACAGTTCTGTGGAATGAGTCATCATTTTGTTTTGACACTAACCTCTATCTAATCACCTGCCATATTTTCCCTTTTCTCTTTCACCAACAATCCTTTGTTTCAGTAGGGCCGGCCCCAGAGTTTGAAAGTGAGAGTGTCCTCTTTTCCACTTCTCAGTTCTCAGAGATATTCTTCAGGTTTCAGTTCTCCTTTTCTGGGGGGGTGGGGGTGGTGAGGGATTGCGGGGGATTGGGTCACACTCACTGGTGTTCAGGGGCTACTCCTGGTTCTGCACTCAAAGAATATAAGTGGTGCTGGAAACTGAATTGGGAAAGGTACAGGCAAGGCAAGTGCCTTGACTCTTGTACTATTTGTTCCTTTTTCATTTCCCTCTGGCCCTATCTGCAATCTATAAATGGAGAACAAAGAATGTGGGATCAGGAATATGAAATGGAAGAAAGCTAGAGGACTTTTTTTGTTTGCTCTTTTTTTTGGTGGGGGCCATACCTGGTAGTGCTAAGGGCTTATTCCTGGCAGGGCTCGGGGGACCATATATGTTGCTGGGGATGGAATCTGGGTCGACCGTGAGCGAGGCAAGGACCCTACCCACTGTACTATCACTCTGGCCGAAATTCTTAGACAAGAGAACCTGTTCATTTCTGGTTTTGTTTTGTCCCCCACAATCTTTACAGAAGCACTGTGATTTGCAATACTGTTAATAACAGCTTCGTGCATTCAGTGTTCTAAATCCATTCCCACCACCAGTGTGTCAGTTTCCCTCCATCAATGTTCCAAGGTCCCCTCCCATCCCTCATTTACCCCTCTTCTTGGCAAGCTCAGTCTTATGGGCCATCTCTCAAGTTCTGTCAAAATAGTCTTTGGCTATTTTGTTATTCTCTGTATCTCTCAGATTAAAAAAAAAATTGTTCTGGCTGACTTCACTCAGTCTGATGCCCTGTAGTCCCATCCATACAGTGGCAAACTGCCTGATTTCATCTTTTCTTATAGCTGAGTAGTATTCTATTGTTTATATATGTTCCTCTTTGTTTTAGCAAGACTTCTGGGTGTGTGATTATACCTGCAGCATCCAAGTTCCTGTTCATCATACTAAGGCAGTCAAAATAAAATGTTTAATAAGTGACTCTGGGAGAACTCACCTTAATTTTTTGGAAGTTAAATAAGCCAAACAAAATCATGTTTTGAGCTTGGAATCTCACTCAAAAGACTATCAAGTATTTCTAATGTAAATTGGGAAGCTGATTTTGGGTATGCAGAAATGTGTCTTTTCTAAAGTACTCTAATAATTTTAGCATTTTTTATAAAGTAACTTCATGGACAATAAGAGAATAAGAATCTTGGGCTGGGGAAATAGTTTGAAGGGCTTTGTGTCAAGGAGGGCTGGATTTGATCCACAGCATCACATAGTTCCTGAGCACAGAAGTGACCCCTGAACACAGAGCCCAGAGTAGCTCTGAGCACCATGGGTGATACCCCACCCCCCACCAAAATAAATATTAAGGATAGCACAGCGGTAGGGCACTTGCCTTACAAGCGGCCAGCATGGCCGACCCGAGTTCGATTCTTCTGCCCCTCTCGGAGAGCCCGGCAAGCTACTGAGAGTATCTCACCCGCAAGGCAGAGCCTGGCAAGCTACCTGTGACGTATTCAATATGCCAAACACAGTAACAACAAGTCTCATGATGGAGACGTTACTGGGCCCGCTCGAGCAAATTGATGAACAACGGGAGGACCGTGACATTAAAAAAATTCAAGCTTTAATAGAAACTAAACTGATTACTATTTCAATTAAATTCCTTCCCTATACAGTTAAATATACTAAATTCTTCCCTTGGAGCAACACAAAGATCTGGCTGTAATTAAAGTAATTGTTATTGGGGCTGGAGGGATAGTATATGGAGGGATAGTAGCATGTTTGCTTTACATGCAGACGATCCAAGTTCAATCCTTGGCATCCCATAACGACTCCTGAACACTGCCAGGACTAATTCCTGAGCACACTTCGAGGAATAATCCCTGAGCTCCTCCAGGATAAGGCAAAAAAAAAAAAAAAAAAAAGAAAAAGAAAAAAAAGTTACTGGTGGTAACCTATGAACAAGTGCAAAATTAAAACAACAACTAAACATCTCTCTGGCCTAATCTTTTAAACTTCCAACTAATTGAATACAACAAATCTATAGAATTGTATATCCCCCTACAAATATTAATGCTCACCTAAAACAGCATTTTAAGGATGAGCATGTAAACAAAAAATATCATTGAGCTGTTGCAAAGTCAAACTTACTCTGC